CTGCAGCTGCGAGCGGGCCCGGCCGGCCCAGAGCGCCAGGGCGGCCGCCTCGGGGCCCGCCGCGGCGGCGGCGGCCTCGGCGCCCGCGGCGCCGGGCTGCCCTCCTGGGGAGGGGGGCTCGGCTCGGCTCGGGTTGCGACCCGTCGCGGCCCCTCGCGGCCGCGGCGCCTCGGTGGTCGCCGGCTCGGCCCGCCGCGCTCGCGGTCACGGCGCCCCGGCGGCCGCCGCTGCGGCTCGGCCTCGGGCATCCGCGCACGCCGCGGCCGCGGCGGTCGGCGCCGCCGCCTCGCGGGCGCGCATGCAGCTGGTTGCCGCCAGTGGTGAGAAGAGCGCGGCGCGGGAAGCTGAAGCATCTGGTCGCGGCGGCTTGGGGCAACGCGGTCGGCCAGGAGGGGCAGCTCGACTCGGCGAGCGGGCACCTGGGCCAGCCGACACAGAGCAGCAGGAGGGGGAGCCCCGCCTCGGAGGGGCGCCCGCCTGGAACTGGTGCGGGCGGCCTCGGGCTCTCGACGTGAGCCGTGCCAGCCGGCCAGAGCACACGGCTTGTGCACGGCGGGCACGCGCACGCGGCGGTGCGCCGCAGGCGAGCTCGCGCGCGCGCGCTCGGCGTGCTCAGCGGCTTACTCGGCGGGCACCGTGAGGACCCCCGCAGCCTGCGGCCAGCGGCGAGCCCAGCGAGAAGCTGGTAGAGGGAGGAGCGGCCAGCTGAACGACCGGCGGCAGCGGCCTCCAGCCGCCACTGCAGCACACGAGCGCACGGCTGAGCTCACGCGCGCAACGTGCGGAGGCCACACGCCAGATACGCTTCCTGGTCGGCGGCGGCGCGGGCTCGCAGCGCCGCTGGGGAGTGCCGAGCGGGGCGCGCGAAGCAGGAGCCCAAGGCTGCAGCGGCCGAGAAGGGAGGCGGCGGGCGAGCAAGAGGCGCCGAGGCTCGCCTGCCCACGCGCGGGCCGAGCTCTCTGGAGAAGCGAGCGGCCACGTGCGTGTCCAGTCCTCGTCCAGGCCCGCCGGGCATCCAGCTGCCTAGCAGGCCGTGGAGGCACGCTCATGCGCAGCCCAGAAGGTCCCGAGAGGCGCCCAAGGGGCCAGGGTGGAAGAGAGTGGGGGAGGCAGGGAAGGGGAGGGGGAGGGAAAGGGACTGGGAGGGGAGGGGAAGGCGGGCAAGAAGAGAGGGATGGAGGGGAAGGAAGAGGGAGAGGGGCGGGGAGGGGGGAGGGGAAGACAAGGGAGGTGTGAAGGAAGAGAGGAGAGAGAAGGAAATGACAATAGAAGACGGGAAGGAGAGAGGGGTATCAACTCTTTTGCCACTCACCTCCCCATCATCAGTGAGCCTCTTCCCTCCTTCTCCTCCTCCTCCTCCTTCTCCTCCTCTTCCTCCTCCTGCTGCTCCTCATGACCATCGTCATCATCATCATCATCATCATCATCATCATCAGCAGCAGCAGCAGCAGCAGCATCATCAGCATCATCATCAACATCATCACCATCATGATCATCATCAGCCTCCTCCTCCTCTTCCCATCATCACCACCACCATCATCATCATCCTCCTCATCATCCTCATCCTCCTCCTCATCCTCATCATCTCTATCGTCGTCATCGTCGTCAGCCGCAGCAGCAGCCTCCTCCTCCAACGCCTCATCATGAGAACCACCAACGCCACCACCACCACGATCATCACTATCATCACCATCACTATCATCGTAATAGTACTATAAAATAATAGGACTCCTCATAATAATGAGTATCATCAACATCGTCATCATCATCATCACTATCATGATCATGACCATCACCATGATCATCATTACTATCATCATCGTCGTCATCATCCATATCATCATCATCAACAGTGCCACCATCATCATCATCATCATCATCATCATCATCATCATCATCATCATCATCACCATCACCATCACAACCACCATCATCATGATCATCATCATCAACATCAGCACCATCATCATTAGCACCATCAGTATCACCGTCATCATCATCATCATCATCATCAGCATCACCATCACCATCTTCAGCATCAACATCAACATCAACATCATCATCACCACCATCATCATCACCACCAACAACAGCAGCAACACCACAACCGTCATCATCATCAGCAGCATCATCCTCATCATCGTCGACGCCGTCGTCGACGACATCATCGTCATCGCCGTCATCACAATCATCATCGTCATCACCATTGCCAACCACACAACCATCAACATCAATGACACCATTACGGTCATGATCTTCGCCATCATCATCATCATCATCGTCATCATCATCATCATCATCATCATCATCATCATCATCATTACCACCACCACTCTCTTCCTCCTCTTCCTCCTACTCCTCCTCATCATCATCGTCATCACCATCACCATCACAATCACCATCTTCAGCATCATCATCATCATAATCATCATCATCATCATCATCATCATCATCATCATCATCATCATCGTCATCAGCATCACCACCATCACCATCGTCATCAGCATCATCGTCATCATCATCGGCAGCAGCATCTTCATCATTATCACCCTATCATATTTCTCACCACCACCACCATCATTATTATCATCATCATCAGCATCGTCGTCATCATCATCATCATCGTCATCAGCATCGTCATCGCCATCGTCATCGGCATCGGCATCGGCATCACCACCATCTCCTCCACTATCACCGTCCTCCTCATCATCAATAACATCAACCGCATTTGCCCCCATCACCATCACCATCATCGGCTCCATCTTCTCCTGCTCGAAGCTGGGGCGCGGCCCGCGTCCTATCGCGCCCGCCCCCTGCCGCTGCTGCGCCTGGGCGATCAGGTCCTGCAGCGCCGCCACGCACACCTCTGCCGCGGGGTCTTCAAGGTCGCAGACGTCGTCGTCGTCCTCCTCCTCCTCCTCCTCCTCCTCCTCCTGCTCCCTTCTCTTCCGCCTCGTCCTCCTCCTCCGCCTCCTCTTCCTCTCCTCCTCATCCCGCCTCCGCCTTCCCCTGCTTCTCCTCCAACTCCTGCGCCTTATCCACCTCCTCTTCCCTCGGCCTCCTCCCTCCTCCTCCTCCTCCTCCTCCTCCTCCTCCACCTCCTCGGCCTCCTCCTCATTACCAACAGCATCAGCATCAGCATTATCATCATCACTCTCAACATCCTCGTCATCATCACCGTCGTCATGGTCATCATTAGCACCATGACAACCACCACCGTCTTCATGATCATCACCGTCACATCATCACCATCGCCATCATCACCATCATCGTCATCATCCGCATCATCACCAACATCAACAGATCATCATCATAATCGTCCTCATCATCAGCATCAGCATCACCATCTTCATCACCTTCATCATCAGCATCGTCTTCATCATCGTCATCATCTGCAGAATCATCATCATCATCATCATCATCATCATCATCATCATCACCGTCATCACCATCATCATAATCATCACCATCGCCACCATCATCATCATCGTCATCATCATCATCTACATGGTCACGCCCATCGTAACCATCAGCATCTTCATCGTCATCGTCATCTTCATCATCGTGATCATTGTCGTCGTCATAGCCATCGTCAGGATCAACCTCATCAGCACCGCCACCATCATTACCATCACCACCGCCACCACCATCATCATCACCATCATCACCGCCACCGTCATCATAGTTATCATCGTCATCATCATCATCATCACCATCATTATCATCATCATCATCATCATCAGCATCATCATCATCATCATCAGCATCATCATCATCATTATCATGACCATCATCCACTGACCCCTTCGGGTATCCAGGCGCGTGATGTTGCCCCCCTGATCCCCACCCCCAGGTATCCCAAACCGGCAATTTGACCCCCCCCCCCAGGGTCAGGACGATCGCGTCATAGGGGCATAGAGGGCCCCACAACGGGCCAAGACGGCCCCGAGAGGCCCTGAGACTGTCCAAGAGGGCCCCGAGCCGCCGCAAAATCGATCTAAGATGTCCAATGTGGCCTCCAGACGGCAAACGATGCCCCCAACACGTCCCAAGACGCCTCCAAGAGGCCTCCCCAAAAGGCCCTGAGAGGCAGTTACTTGATCCCCCATAGGTTTTGGAAGGAATTTGGCGTTCTCGCCGCTTCCGTTGCCGCTGCCCGAGGCTCCAAGACGGCGGCCCAAGAGGCCATGAAGACGGGCCCAAGACGACCCACGAGGCTCTGAGGGGGGCCCAAACGGTCCAAGAGGGCCCAAGACGGCCAGGGAGGTCGCCAAGACGGCCCAAGACGCCCCTGGGACAGCTCCAAGCGAGGGCCCAAGACGGGCGACCCGAACGGACATCTCGAGCCCTCGCCTTCGAAAGACCCCCGAGGGGTGTCGAGAGGCCCCCAGGAGGCCCGAAAGAAACCCCCAAACGGCTCCAAGGCTGCCCACACACACACACACACACACACACACACACACACACACACACACACACACACACAAACCCCCGAAGGCGCTCCGAACCCCAAGCAGAACCCTGAGAACTGCGACCCCAAAACCCACGCACGGTGGCGGGGCGGGGCGAGGGCCCTTCCATCCGCCGCCCCCCGTGGGTCTTGCCACAGGGGTGCCGGACGCACTCCCAGACACGCGACGTCCTGGTTTTTTCAGGACGGCGCCCCTGGAAGCCCAGACCCTTTCTCCGGGACCGGTTTTTCGTCCTGCGTCGTTTTTTGACGGTCCCGAGGCCCTGCGAGGGACCCCCGGGGCCGAATACAGCGAAAAACCTCCCGTCCTGATTTTTTTACGACGCCATCATGTCTGGGAACAGGTCCTACTGGCTTGGGTTTGGCTCTGTTCCCAGCGAGCTCCCCCGGGGCTTCGGCCTGCACCGCGGGCCACCCCGGCAGACCTGGGTGCAACAACTGCCCCCGCCCGGACGGCTCCGAGATGGCTCCGAATGGCTTCCAGGATGGCCAGGGCGGCCTCGGCTTTCGCCCCAAAAGGGTCCAAGAT